AATTAAGCATAAAAATATGCAATTTGAGCACTTATCAAGCACCAATGTCCACGCTCAGCGTGAAGATTGAAGTTTGTTCCTCGAATCTTTTCCAAGTTGAGGCTCAACATGGATCTAAGGCTTAGCATAGAGACTTAGCCAAAAATTCCTTTTACTTTGAACTCACCACTTTGTCCTTTGCTTCCTTCTTTTTTTCCTAACTTTCTCCAAAACTACAAAATAGCAACCAAATGCTTATAAGTCACCTAAAAAAATGATTCAAAGATAAAATGTTGTTACCCACCAATTTAGATACGTTTTGAGTTCAAAACAAGATCTCAAGCTATTGGAAATTGATATAAATGCTCCAAATTGGGTCATAAACTTAGTGACAACATAAGACTTATCAAAATTTAAGTTAAATCTTTGACAAATCAAGTTTTCAAGTCAAGGAAAATCGGATAAGTGCTTTAAGATACAAGAAATTAAAGCACTTATCACTTAGCCATCATTATTAAGACAAGATCTTTTTTATTGTTTTGTGAGAAGAGAAAGAGAGAAACATTACTTTTTGTATAAGACTTGAAACTAAGAGCTACACTCAACTTTCTGGCTTGTTTCCATAAACAATGTCATGAAAAAATTGAAGAGAATGAGAAAGATACCTTATTTCACACTAATAAATGGTAAGGATAATGAAGAAATTTGGTACTTGAAGATATTTTGCTTCCAAGTTTCATCTATTTGGATTTGTAATATGTGTTTCATTGACTGCTACCTGAGCATTTAAATAAGTGCTTCAAGATATTTTGTTGTCCTCAAAGGGGTAATGAATCTAACTGCTTTGTCCTTCTTGTAGCAACATGATTGAAGATATTTCACAATTTTGAATTTATCAATCGCTCACAAGTATAATCAACCCTAAATTCCTTACAAGTTGGAATCTAAGTTTCTTGATTAATTTATCAATTCCTTGAATAACTTAACCAAGAAACAAGCTTTAAAAAAAGAGCTTAAGAAAAACTAATGGCATTTACTTCATTCCAAGAGATAAACACCTTTAGTTGCTTTACTTTAGTTCAAAGGTTCACAAGTGTTTTTCAATCAATTTCAAATCCAAGGTTCAAGTTAAGAGAGATCAAACCCTAACAAGCATTAAGTAAAGAAGGTAGAGTAATAAAACTGAATAATAACTAAGATTAATAACTTAGAAAATATACATGAGAATGAGTTAGGTAACATCAAACTCTAATAAATGAGAGTTTAACTACATATAGACATGTAGAACGTTACAATGGTTAAAAAAGAGAAAAACTTATCTTAAAGGTTAAAGTGCTCTCTGGTTACTACACACTTTCCACAAAAAGGTTTTTTAATGATTACCCTCGAATATCCCTCGCTTAATCAATTTTATAATAAGTACTTTAAAATTATATTTATGTACTTTTAATTAATTATTCCAAAAAAATAATACGTAGAAATTAAACTCAAGGAAATAATTTAATTGTGATGGATGGTCTTATCAAAATTCCAACTCATCCCTGACTCAGCCTGGTGAGTTGTATTGCAAAACATAAACACTAAACAAGGAAGCGTGCAACATGCGCGCATTTTATTCTCCCAAGTGGACGGTGCCAGCTTAAGGAAATACTGCATTTTGCAAGACAATAAATGTTAATTCAGAAACCAAACTCCAAAATCCAAAACACACTTCCAAATTCCAGACACAGGAACTGAGCTTCAGCCTTTCAAAACACCATGGTGGCAGATTCTAAGTCCAAATCCGACCTCTCCTTCTCCAAAACCTTTGCCAGCAGTGTTTTCTCTGCATGTTTCGCTGAGGTACTCTATCTGGGTCTTCTTCTTTTTCATTTTTCCTTTCTGGGGATTCTCTCTTTTTTCATGATCTTACGAAAGACCCATCTTTTATGTCGATCTGATTTCCCCTCTCACATTGCTGGCTTTCATAGTTTTCAGTGTCTTTTCCTTTGTTGTGTAACATTAACAAACCGTGGTTGGTGCTAGTGTACTAATTTGGGACACAAGGTCGATCTGGTGCTCCTGTGTTTAATTTATGCTGTGCTAAAATAATGTATGACCAGCAAAAGTCATGTCCTCGAAATATATATTATGTCTATAGACAAAAAAAGAGTACTTATTTGGATGATCAAGTCAATGTTTTTGTGGGACTCAGAGTTCAGTTGAATGTGTCTGAGTATGGTCTAACTGAGTTTAGTGATATATAATTTTCGAATGGGTGATGGTTTTCAATTTTCAATTTGTGTCTACTCGTATTTGGGTGATATAGTTTGCTAGCATTGTTTTGGATTTTGTAAAATTGATTTTTGGTTAAGAGTAAGTTTGAAGTGATTTATGTTTTCGAAATTTTCATCTCAGAATAAGTTTGTGTTATTAACTCAATGCAGAGTTTGTGTTTTTGTGAGAATCTCGTTAGACATCACCAAATGTGGATTTAAATGTCTCCCTCCACTGCTAAGCCGAACACAGGATCAGTCTTTGTTAGATGTATAGGGATCTTTTGCTTATGTGATATGATTTTGTTGTTTTGTCTAAAAAGAACTTATAAAATAAGTTATCTTCGTAAAATTCAGAGATGTGCTGAACAAACAAAAAAATAACTTCTTTCTTTGCGTTTGAGTTTATCTCTTTCTGTTAATAATAGTCTATGAAGTACCGATACTTCAATTTGCTTCACGTACTCGTATCCGATACGTATCCGACACGATACTCTTGGATACTTCACCGATACATGTCAATGAAGAATCTTAGCCTTTAAAAATATTATGAAAATTTTATTCAATTTCGATACTCTCAGATACTTCACCGATACTTATTAGTGATACGTATCGATAAAATATTCAAATTTTTGAAAAATTATGAAATATCCATTACAACTAAATAAGATATATAAACATGTTTAATATAGAAACATAGAAATATTGGTCCTTGATAAACTGTAAATGAAAATTGCCTTCTATATAAATCATTTTAAGAAAGGAATGAAATTAGTAATATTATTTCTATTTGTAAATAATAAAAAGTAATTTATGATGAAATGATTTATAATTTATTTATTTTTAGTAATGTACAATAAGTACATTTTTAATTTGGATTTGCAATATAACAATTATATATTTAATGTTTATGAATTTTGATCAAAATTACAAGTATATAATTATTATATTGTATGAATATTGATATATACGATGACACGTATCTTACAAGTATCGTATCCTATATATTTTCAAATAATAGTATCACCGTATCGGATACGTGTCGTATCCGATACACGTATCGTATCGGTCCATCATAGATAATAGTCTTTGTTAGTCAATGGTGGTCACAGTGGATTTTGACTGCTCTGACATGATGAAAAGTATGCATTGCAAGCTGTTTGTTTTTCAAGGATCAACATTTGATGACTTGTATATGCCCTGACAAAATGTTTGACTTGGTAATGGTAATAAACTCTGGATGTTTTGTTATTAATCTAACCGAATGGAACAAACAAGTGGGAATGGGCAGAAAAGAGAAGGAAACGAATGAAACAAAGCTATTGTTCCCCATAGATTTGATGATTAGTGAGCAAATGCTATCGAACTCCATTACCCCTCAAGTTTCCACCATTCCACCTCTTGAATTTGTTTCTTTCGTTTTATTTTAAACTCCCAAGGAAGAAATATTTTTGTGTTTCCCTTGTTCCCATCTGTCATAAATAATTATAAGAGAATACATAAAGAAAAATGAAAGATTTTTTTTAATGAACCAAAATTAATTTTTGCATAAACTAATTTATAGAAATTTTTGCATACTAATTTTTAAACTTTGCATAAGTTAATTATAACTAATGAAAAAATAATTTCATTCTTCTTTAATATTTTTTCTTCTATAAGTGTTTGAAAAAGTTTATCTAAACATGCTCATTTTAAAAACATGCCATTTGAAAATAATACAATTTCTACTCTCAACTACAAGTGGCCAATAACAAGTGTACGGGAACATATTTGTCCCGGCATGACTAAATGCTTGTGAATGTTATCACATTTACATAATTAAAAAGCATCATATTCATATTTGTTATCTGTCATTGTTTCATGAATGTTGGCAATAATAGTTGCTTTCAAATCAACCCTTGGCTCTTCTTGAAAAACGATTCCACTAAAACAGGAATGTCGTAATGTCTCAAAACAGGATTGATATTGATAATATTATAATTTTTTTCAATTATTATAAATTACAAAAAAAAAAACTTATTTTATAATGAATATTATATAAATAGCAATTATTTTGTCATTTAGAAAAGGTATAAACCTTTCTAAAGTGGATAAACATCTGCTGTGTGTTTTCATTCTATTAGCAATCTTTAAATTGTATGGTGTGTAAGCGATAAGTAGTAATTTGCTTGAATCTTTAAACAAAGACCGCTAGTCCAACTTAAAATACCATACTAACAAGGAACAAAAACGAAAAAATGAGAAAGAATACTTCTAATTTAATTTTGAAATTTATATCATGATTATCATAAATTGTACCACTCACTAAAATATGAACTTTGAAAATTGATACTTATTTATAAGCGCAAATAGTGTGCGTGCTTACTGTAATATTTTACATCATTTAATCAACGATAAATTTGTTAACTTTTATCATAATTATATTGAAAAATGAGTTATTATAAGATGTTTTGATACAGTCAATTTTTAAAACCAATAAAAATAACTTGAAATTGTTTTTTTTTTCTTTTCACTTTCACTTCTTTTTTCCCCTTACACTAAGTGATGTGTTATTGCAACATATTCAACTATGAAAACATTGTTCACTACATTAATGCATTTATCAATTGAAGTGGGATGGACACATTCCATACATAAGAGATTCGGTCTCCATTCTGCGAAGAACACAAACAAAATATGTAGAAACTTTTATATCTGTTTTGGGAATCAGTAGTAAACTACGGATATTTGTCAAGACATAAATAAGAACATTGCTCAATATATACTTACTTTTTTGCTACCATAAAATTGTATAATGTTTGTCTAACTGGTTAGAAGTTGTGTCTCCTGAGAAGGAAAAAAAAAAGAAGAAAGAAATATAAGTAGAATATAGCATTTGAATAGAATGAAAAGAAAAATTCATGATCATGAATTAATTAAACTTGGGCTGCTGTAGTGGAGTTTTATCCCTGGAGTCTTAAAAATTCATTTTAAGACTATTTTATCATATTTGTAAGAGTTTAATTTATATTGTGCAATGAGATCTATCCTAAGATAATATTTACCTGGTATTCACCATAATACTAGGCAAAATCTCGGCTCTTACTATGCGGAGTCGCAAACAAACTGCAAAATAAAAAAAGACCATTAGTTATTTCTGCAATACGTTTTAATTAATGATACACGAATATTCATTGAAAAGAAACAATATACAAATGAATTTTCTATCGTTACACTTGCAAAACGAATCATATTTCAAACTAAACAAGTAACCCATGACTTGTTGAATGCAATAACTAAGTTAAACATAAAGAAAAGGACAAAGTAGGAGAATTACCTGGTGATCATCCTTCGTCACTAAATCCATCTATCGTCAACTTTAATGCCAGGGATATGAGAAATTTTAGGCCAAATTTGACGGTGCTTCACGCGTTTTTGCAGCAAAGGACATAAAATAATTTGTAATTTTATTAGAGAGAGAGGCAACCTTTCACCTGCCATATTCTCCAACTTATGACAATGAAAAATTTCTAACTTTTGGAGGGATGTGAGATGGAGAAGCCCCTTGCAGTCCAACATTTCTAGACTTGACAAGTTACGTAGAGAGAGAGACGTAAGGGAGAGAGGCAACAAACCCTCCTTTGGGAAGGACTTTATGCCATCACACGGACCACCGATGATGAGATCGGTAAGCATGTCCATCGATGGCCATGCTAGGCCGCTCACTAGTTTCTCACAATTGGAAATCTCAATCTTACTCAAGTTAGGTGGCATACCCCCTTCAGGAAATGACTCAATTTCCGGGCAGTTGCTTATATAAATATGCTCTAACTTTGGAAGAAGAGCACTCATCTGAGTAGGCAACGACTTCAACTTGTCGCAAAATCCAACTCTGAAACAATTCAAATTGGGCGCAGGAGATCCTTCTCTTGGGAATGAAACAAAGTTAGGGCATCGGCAAATCACAAAATAACTTAGATTCTTAGGTGACTCTGACACCGAAACCAAGAGAGATTCCATATTTTCACACCCGTCGATTATGAGTCTTTTGAGATTTGGAAAGGTAATCAATGGAAGAGATGTGAGCGAGTCACAACTGTTGTATACATTTAGTGATTCTAGCAACTCGTGTTTGTGTTGGGACGGGAATTCTAATTTCTTAATATCATGGATGATCAGAGTCTTGAGCGATGCAGGTAAACGACCACCTGGAAATGATATGGCTGAGGAACTATCACTTAATAATAAAGAATGGAGAGAAGTTGGTTGGACGCTAGTGATGGCCTCAATCATGGACTCCACCATTGGGCTTCCTTTTACATTTATAAATTTCACCGAAGGAGGAAACACATCCAGGGCTACTTTATTGCTTTTGTAAATGTTTAAAGTTTGCAGGACGGGAGCCCTTGGAAGAGTAGACACAAGCTGCTCGCAATTACAAATCTCAAGCCTTTCCAGAGCAGGAAGGTGATTTGGCAAATCTCCCCTTAGTTTGGGGCAATCAGATATATCGAGATCCTTAAGGAGAGGAAAAGCACACGACTCAAAAGAACACCACATCTCCCAACAAGGCAGCTCAGCAATTGTAAGTGATTCCAATGCTGGCAGGTGATTTGGCAAATCTCCCCGTAGTTTAGGACAATCACTAATAACAAGCCTCCTGAGTGAAGAAAAAGCATCTGACTCAAAGGAACTCCACACTTCCCAACAAGGCATGCTATCAATTTCTAGAACTTCAAGGGAGGGAAAGGATTTAACACAACAAGAATTTTCGTTATTGTAAAAACCTGCATCAATAGTCTTCACCGAATTCAATCTTGTAATACAGAGGTTCTTGAGAGATGGTAGTTGCCCAAGCGAAGGAAGCATACAACAATTCTTACAATCATATAACCGTAGATCTGTTATACAGTGGAACAAACAATTTCCCACCCAATCCGAAAATCTAGTTCCTTGATAACCACGTATTGATAGAGATTTCAGCTCTTGGTGAGGTTGTAACTTGCAGAGTACATCTGTTTCAGTTTGGAACTGGCTACTATTGTCGTTACATTCAGACCACTTCAAGGATAATTCGTCAATGTACTTCTTATCCATTATCTTGGCCTCCAATGCTTCATCACTTGAGGTAACATTCTCCAAATTTCTAATCATAAGCGAACCGTGAAGGTTTGAAAGTCCTCCCAATTCTTTGATCCCATTCTCTATATTCTTGCCCACAATAAAAAAATCTAATTGTTGTAAGTGGTTTAATTTTCCCATTCCTCTAGGCATCTCTTTTAAAGGAACACCATATATATCAAGATGACGCAAGTTTACAAGATTCTGCATGCCATTGGGCAACATAGTCAAGTTGGTGCAATTATACAACTTCAAGGTTTCTAGATTGTACAAATTACACAATGATTCTGGCAATGTAGAAACACTTGTACGGGATAGATTTAAATAACACAAATGGATCAATTTACCTATTGAATCAGGCAAAGCATCCAAACTTTGGAAGTCGCAAAATGATAAAACTCTCAAGTACAAAAGTTTTGACATTATAATACATGGTGCCTTCTCATTATGGAATGGCGCACTTTCAAAATGGATGATAGACAAGAAAGTTCTCAAAAATTTTACTCCATCAAAGTTGTCCAAGACATCATGACTGAATTTGGTAAATGACAAATGACGAATCTTGACATCAATCTTGGTTTCTTTTCCCATTTCTTCTGATCTCAAATAGAATTCTCGTCCAAGGGATGTTGCCAGGTCATGCATAAGGTCATGCATCACAAAATCATTTTTCCATGTCCAATTTCTTGAATGTTGAAAAAATGATCTTGAAACTAGATAATCAAAATACTCGCAACCAACTTCTTCTAACGATTTTCCAGTTTTTCCTGGCTTTAAAAGATCTTCAGCCATCCACAGTAAGATTAATTCATTTTTCTGAAATTCATAATCCTTAGGATACAAAGAACAATAAACAAAACATCGTTTTAATTGTGGAGGGAGATAATGATAACTAATTCTTAGTGCTGGAATAATGTTACACTCAAGTTCCCAAATGTCACTATTCAGTATATCATTCCAATCCCTAGCGTCGTGCTTTCTTCTCAACATACCTCCAAGTGACTGTACTGCTAAAGGCAATCCCTTACACTTTTTAACAATGTCCCTTCCAATTTTTTCTAGAGTCCTAGAATTCTCACTAGGTTCTGGAGTAAAACATGCATGGTTTGCAAACACTAACCAGCAATCCTCATTCGACAATTGATTTAGATGATAAGCTTGAACAGTACCGACTACAATTGCTACACTTTCATTGCGGGTTGTAACAAGAATTTTACTTCCCTTAATTCCACGTTGAAGTGGTTTCTTAAAAAGACTCCAATTAACATAATCTTGAAGCCAAACATCATCCAAAACAATCAAGAACTTTTTATCTTTCAGTTTGTCCACCAATTCTAGGTGAAGTAAGTTTAGATCATTAATTTTACAAGGTTGTGCAGTAACCGCCTCTGATATAATTTTTGTGACGTTTAGAATATCAAATTCTTCAGAAACACAAACCCATGCTTTAAAATCAAATATCTCCTTCAAACTGTTGTCATTGTACACCAGTTGTGCCAAAGTAGTTTTTCCAACTCCACCCATGCCCACAATAGGGATGACAGACACTTCTTCACCATCACTACTATTCTCCAACAACAACTTGATTATGGCCTCCTTGTCATCATCCCTACCATATATGTGAGATCCATCTTCAAGAGATGTTGATGGAACTTTCCATGGTACACTGTTTTCCACTGCAATCTCTTTCAGATCAAGACTCTCCTTGAGTCTTAAAACAATCTCTAATCTGACAACTATGTCTTCCAACTTAGTAATTATCTTCCTATTGGAAAAACGAGAAAAGAAGTTTCTTACCTTCTTTTGGGTGGCAGCTTTGGTAGAAACATGATCGAGCAAGTCATCAGCCTGGTAGACAAGATCTTTGAGAGTAGTGAGCCATTCGTTGACACTGGAGTCTGTGATTTGTTTCTTCTCAGCATCATCAAGCACAGCTCTAACCACCCTTAGAATGGTCTCCAACTGTTGAAGCAACTTGTTGTGAAGCTTGTTTCCACGGATAAAGTTGACAACCTCAGGTGAAGCCAGCCTGTCAAAAACAACATCAAGGAAGGCAGAGAGGAACGCACCACCTACGACTGCTGTAGCCATGATCTCAAGAACAAGTGATAATGAGAAAGGTAAGGAATTGGATGCAATAAGCTCGGTTGATTTTTTATAAGGTGAATAGATCGGACACTGTCTTTACTTTGACTTGGTCAGTGGTGGTGGGTACTACATGAGATGCTGATGCTATACAACTGTATTGGATGCTTTTCTAAAGATTCTTTACATCAACTCACTCACTCCAAGACAAAGGTTAGTGGTGGTTGCTTTCTCAAAATGAAGGATGCTTTCTTTATCTTTCTACATTACAAAATGTTAAATTGATGATTTATGGACCGTTAATTTAAAGTGGCTTATATTTGTAAAATGCTTTAATTAGTGCTAATGGTGATCTGTTATCGTGATAACTGACTTCCTGTGCTCACATGATACGGTTTGTGGGACAAGTAATATTTCGCTTCATTTTCTTTTTCTTTTCTATTTTATATCTATTTATCTATTTATTTATTGTAATATTAAAGTTATAGAGAAATATGTGAAATCTATATTTTTAAGTTATGTTGTTATTAACTCTTTATTTCAAACTCACGTCATATTGAACATTCTACAAAAAATTATTTTTATATTTCAATTTTTAAGCCTATTAATTAATTGATAAATTTAAATTATTTCTAAATATATGATATTAATGAATATTAAATTTTTAGTTTCTACTCCTAAAAATTATATTTATATCACAATAAAGAAAGAAATTGGATATTTTACATTGACATTTTATATTGTCCATTTAGACCTAAATTTTTCTTATGTTCTATAATGTAATTCTCAATATTTCTTTTTTACTTTCATTTAACTGTACAATTTCATTTCTATTTTGCTCTCTAAATTATTTGATTTCACTCTTTTGTAGAAATAATTTTTCTTTGCTATAATTCTTTTTTCTCAATTTAACTTATTAAGTTTGTAAATTTCATTATTTCCTTTCTTAAATATTCTAAATTGTAATTCTTATTTGACATTGAAATTATTGTTAGAAATTTTAGTTGGTACTCCTTTATCGTATTTTCTTAATTCACTTTGTTCTCCACGCAGATTTATTGAATTTTATAAGATTGTCTTATTTGTAAGAATCATGATTGTTGGAGTTATATTCTTAAGAGATACTTTCTTATCCCTTTATAATTTGTTTTAATTTTTCAATTTGTGCTCTTAGGTTTCATAGGTTCAATGAATTTATCTATGCAACACTCCTTTTTTTCTTCTATTTTTTTAACTTGGTTTTCTTCTACTTTTGACATATTATTATTATCTAAAAAAATACAAATTTATGAACATAGATATTTTTTTATCGCATTGTTTTTCTAAAAGTTAAAATTTAAGGTTATTTCTAATTTTTGGTTGTCATTTCTATTAGCATGTGATGCATTAAATTACAAATATGCTATATATATATATATATATATATATATATATATATAATCTTAATAACTACATATTCAAATTAATTATAATATAATTCAAATATTATTATAAGACTTATTATTTTTCGTCACTAATATGATCATATGGTCTAAAAGTCTATTAAATTGAAATTTTCTTATGACTGCCCTTATAAAAAATTAACTTATTTTCAAACTTATATGTAACACCTCATTCACCGATTCAAATTTCATAGAAAAGGTTGAATTTTTAGCTTTTATCGTGAAAGTGTTCTTTTTTGATATTTTATTTTAATATATTTGTATAATATTTATGATTTTTGAACAACGGACATTCAAACTAAATCTATTCATTACAAACTAATTATTGTTATAAAAGTAAATTTAAATTATAACATTACCATAATTAATTGTCATGACTCTTAATTAAAAATTAATAATTTTATCATGTCTTTTAATTACAAATTAATAACTAATTGTTGATTCAAATTGTAACATTATCAACTACCTCTTAGTTTAAAATTAATTTTAACATATAAATTCTGAATAAATGTAATTTAATATTTTCCTAATTAAAAATATAATAATATTATTTTTTTATAAAATTTAAAATTATCAGTTATTTAATAAAAATAATAAGTTCATTATCATTATATTTAATGTAATATCTCCAATATATATTTAAAGATAAATTTACTTTAAAAATTATAAATTTAAAATATATTTAAATTTAAAAGACTTATACATAATTTGCCAATATACTTTACTTTCAAATAACTCTTCAGTTATATAATTTGATAACATAACAGATTGACAGTTCATCTTTACAAGTATTAAAAATTTTCTATTTTTAATCGTAAATTAATATTTTATTTTATTTTATTTATTTCATAAACTCTCAATCATTTTAAACTCCGAAAATGCTAAATCTTGCGAATATGATCTCCGAAAGATCCTTCGAATTATGAAAAGTCAAATATATATTTTGAGCAACGTTAACTTTTTAACTATTCGGAAAAAATTTCCATACATTATTTTGGAATAAATAGCATTACTCTTTTAAACTCACATGACACATTGGTGCCTATAACCGTTATATTACCATTTCATTATTTGATAATCATATATACTGAGCAAAGTCAGGTATTTGAATTAAATTAATAATTCATGTATTTCTTTTATTAGATTTAGTATACTATTTTATAATTTTATGATTTATCTGATAATAGATAAAAGTATATCTTAAAAAAATGTGATTAGTAAGTAGATAATTTACTTTATACAAGATATTTAATACACTAAATTCTCAACGTTCTTAAAGTTCAAAATATATATGCAAATTCAACATATTAAAATGTAATTAATTTCTTAAATACTTCTCTCTATATATATATATATATTGAGTTATTTAGCTTTTCAAAGTTAAATAATTTTATTATAAAATACTTTTATAACACATAATCATTAAAATGTTATATTAAACTAGGGTATAAGGATGTAAATGGGTATAAGTCACCCAAGAACTTTAATTTACACAAATTGACATTTTGAAATTAGATTGAATATTTTTAGAATTAGAGTCGCACTAGATCTAATCAAAATCTATTATTGTATGGTTTCAATAATAGACTTTATCTAACTTAAGTCAATACATTCGTAATCAGATTGAGTTGATATACATTTCAAAACAGAATACAAAAATTCGACCAATCTAACTCAATTTTATAGTTTTGATTGGATGAAATAGTAAATCTATCCAAATTTGACTCAACCTAACCCATTTATACCTTAATCTTAAATTAATAAATTTATTTTTAAGTTAAAATAACGTTTTTAAAAAGTTTATTATAAATTAAATTATATCATATATAACTTCTTATAATCCCGCGCATTGAGCGGGTAAAAATCTAGTTAATACTAATTATAGAAAGGTATAGTATGTGAAAACTTTGGTTCTATTCATCTAAGGGTTCTCCTTACCCGTATGAAGAATTATTTCATTTTTCAATAATAACGGTACCTTGAGGAGTAGTCAAGTAGTCATTTTGGCAATAATAATGCTGTCCTCTCTTGTGCTACAATTTCCTTTTCAGGAAATCTTACTTAATAAGTGTTATAACAGTTGCTGCACAAAAGAGTTTACTTTGGTTTTATATATTTCTTATAAAATGACCCCTGACAGAAGGTGCTCAAACTTCTTTTTATTTTAAATCAGGACAGAGTACAAATTTATAAAGTCATCAGATTAAAACAAGAACAGAAGCTTCATTGTTTTTACTTGTTAGCAACCATCAATTAATAAAGTGGCAGAATTTGCCAAGCTAACGCCCATATATTGAAAACATTCATAATTCTTCATTTTTTTTTAACCAGCCACGGATTAGTCCAACTCATTACGGAACATTCATCAGAAGCTCAATATTCATTACTCATAAATTAATAATAATGTACAATATAATTGATATTAACATATAAATATAATTTATTAATTAATGTTAATTCATAATAATAATAATAATAAAGAATAATTATATAAATATAACATTCTCCCACTTGGATAACATTAATCAATAAATTAAATATACCAATTACAACACAAGTACATATATCAATTAACAATATAAGAAATATAAGATAGAGATACATACCTTATGCTTTTATTTCATAAATAATAGATAATGAAAAACATAATAAATATGTGATCCCAAAAAAATGGTCCAAGCAATTTTATATGCTAAAAGAGATGTAATGAAAATGACCTCATTGATAAATTTACATCTCATGGAAACCATAATAATAAAAATGTAAATTTCATACTCCCACTAATAACACAATACATCAAAAAACTTAACTACACTCATATGAGTTACATGATTTTGAAAAACTCCAATAGTTAAGTCTTTAGTTAGTGGATCTGCTAACATATTTTCTGTAGCAGTATGATCAATCCGAGTCAGAAAATTTAAAAATTTCTCTTTAACAAACAGAAATTTTATATCAAAATGCTTTGAGCGAGTAGAACTTCTGTTGTTTTGAGAGAAATACACAACAACAATATTATCGCAATATATCACAAGTGGCCTAGAAATACTTTCAACAATATAAAAGCCATAAATCAAATCTTGATGGTTTGGACTTTGTAGATGGCACACGGAACTACAAAATTCTTACATTGGACACTATTCCTCAAAAGTTTAATGTTCTAATCTTCAACAGTGAGCACCACCTACAATATTCTCCCTTCAAAGTGTATGGCATATTCTCAAAACTAAATTATAAGTATTAAACTATGAGTGCATATTCTTTCATTTATTCGTAATATTTTTATGAATGATTTGATTAGACCACTACTAGAATTTCTCTTATTACATACGACTTTTCATGCGAATACTATATAAAAACTCGCAACAATTATTATTCTGATGAATTTTTCTGCGAAATTTTATCTCCAGGTAAAACATTCGTAGATAATATGTTTTTGCAAATTTAAGGAGAGTTTATTGATTTAGGATTTCATAGGATTTTAAAAGAACTTTTTTGAACAAAAAAGTTTGTTGGTATTTGATCAAAATTTCATGTCACTTAAAAATAATTTAATGGTATTCAATCTAAATTTTCAAGATTTTTTTTTAAGAGTCCATTAAAATTCATTGGTATTCATTTGAGACTTTTTGTAACTTAAAAATAATTCATTGGTATTCAAAAATACAGGGATTTTAAAGGATTGTTGTATTAGAGAAATTTGGAAAGACTTTTTAGAGGTATCTATAAATATGAAACTCATAAAACAATCTCATTCAAACCCATCAAATTTTGGAGGATTGCATGAAGTAACTTTTCAAGTGTTTCAAGAATTTCCAAGTGAGTTTTTTATCTCTTTTATTTTCTATGCTCGTGTCTTCTCCATTTTTTTTCTCTTGCTAATAATATTGAACTACTACTCACATATAACTTTTCATTGACTTGCTCTATTTTTCTCTCCGTTCTCTTTGAATGGTTTGCTTTATTTTGCTCTATTTAGTTGAGATTGTTCTTCAGTTATATAACACAAAAAACGCTTGAAATTTCAACTTTAGTAATTTTTTTATAACATACGTCAAGAAAAGGGAAAGGTAAAATTGATATCATGATCTCTATAATCAACTATAGATCTTCAAGACCTTGTAATTAATTTATATTTATTAGAACATATATATATA